GGCTTCGCTGCTCTGACTGAAGGGCCACGGTAGCCCAAGTGATGAGTGGAGTAGGACGGAGCAGTCAGGAGAGATCCTGTTCCCTGTGGGAAACTGGACATCTCTGTGGTCCCTGAGAATCTCAGGAGGCCGACTGTACAGAGACCTCTGGTCCCTGACCCCAGTCGGCCTCCACATGTCTGGAGTAGCCCATCATGGGCCCTTCAATTTCAGCAAGGGGACACCATTCAACCTGCCAGGGCAGGTCTGTGCCTGTTTCATGCCATTTGGAGACAACGGGATTCTCTGTCCAGATCCCACTGTTCTCACATTCTTAAGAAGATGCCCACCCCTGCTTGGGGCTTGAGACTCCAGAGACCCATGCAGGTGTGGGCCACTGCGTCTGGCCCTTTTTCACCTGGCAGCAGTGGTGGAATGGGGGTTAGGCAGCCAGCCAGCATCTGGGAGCCCAGCGGGAGAGGTTCAGGTGTTCTCTGAGGTTCTCAGGTGCAGTGTAACCTTTAGACGATTTTGTCTCACAGTATGGAGATGATGGAGGAAGAGGATACTTTACAGGAGCGAGAGGACATCATTCTCAAGTATGAGAAGGTACAGATCCATGTGCTCCTTGGAAGAGGCCTCTTCCAGTGTGCCCTGGTCAGAGGGGTTTGGGCTCCCTAGGGGCACAGGGTGGGGATGGGTGGCCAATGCTCTTAGGCCTCTTGTACACTTTACCTTGACCCCTCAGCAAGGCTCCCTCTGGGTTGCAGGGACACCGAGCTGGGCTGCCAGCGGACATGGAGCCTGAGCCTGTGGAAATCCACAACCGCACGGATCGATTTGGGATTGTGCAGTGAGTCCTCCGTGCTCCCCTCAGCCCCTAAAGCACCTATCTCAGCTCAGGGGTGGGTTTGCTTTTAGAAAAAAACCTCCTGAGGCCCTGAGGCCATGTCTCCCCAGGTCGGGCCAACCTCCTTTCCAGGGTCAGACCTCCTCCCTGGCTCCCCTGCAGGTCCAGCCTGAGGTTGTTAGGCCAGAGGTTCAGGTCCCATTCAGGGAGCGGGTGGGAATGGAGAGGGGGCTAGATCAGGCCCCTGGGCTCTCAGCAGTTCCGTCTCTAAGTTAGCATGAGAGGAGCGGGGCAGCCTGAGGGTCTAGCCCTGTCCACTTACAGACAACCCCAGTGAGATCCAAGGTTTGTGGCCACAGGGTGGGGGGACATCTGGCCCAGCCTCGGGGCTCTTGTCCAGCAGGTCTCTGAGGGCCCACCTGCCCCTGTTCTCCCCCATTTCCCTAGAGCCATAGCCCTCCCTGTCCCCATGGGGAAGGGGGAAAGGCAGGGGGACAGTGAGGGCTGTGGCCCTAGGGGAATGAGGAAGAAGACGGGCAGGACCCTGTTCTGGGCATCTCACGGTGAGGCCAAAACTGCAACAGAGCTTGCGGCTAAAGAGCCTGGGTCTGGTGCTAGGAAGGGATCCGGGGCCAGGTAAGAGGCGCCCAGCTTGGCACCCATCCCTCAGGGATCATAGGATGGAGAGACAGAGGAACCCGGGGGAGGTAGGGTAGAGGGAGCTTATGAGCCGTGCCACTTCTAAAACGCAGGGTGTGTGGCTCGGCTGCAGGGAGAGGCAGGTGGACACTGGGAGGTCAGACCCTGCGAGGGCCTTGGGCATGCATTGTGCGATGGGTCCCAGGTACACGCTGGGTGCACTGGACAGGTCTCAGGCCAGGCTCCAGAGACCCTGGCAGTTCCACATCACGTGATCACTTCGAAGGGACTCCTGTCAGGGCCGGGTCACCCACCCTGGGCAGCCCCCATCACATCTCAGGGCCGACTTTTCTGAGCTCCAGCAGAAAGCACCACCTCCAGGCCAGGAGGGGCACCCCATTGTGCAGGCTGACCGCCCCCCAACACCAGGGGCCCCAGTAACCCGGGCCAGGCTGGCCCTGCACTCCCGACTCTCCCAGGTCCTGGCCCCTCCCAGGATTCAGCCCCACAGGAAAGCCCTCGTCCTCCCTTTCCTGTGCTTTTCCCGGGCTGAGCCCTGAGCTGGATGGGACAGAGCCAGTTCTTTCTGGGGGTCGGCTCCCAGACCGGACGGCTCCAAGCCCCGTGCAGGTCCTCAGCTCTGCTTGGTTGCCTTACAGTGAGACGGAGCTGCCCCCTGTCAGTTCCCGGGAGGCCAAGGTAAGATCCTGATGCATGGGGGGCCTGACCCAAGGGACAGGGAGACTGGGAAGGTGGTGGGTGAGGCAGAGGAGGCAGCAGGCCTGGTTAGTGGCGGGGAGGAGCAACATGCTGTCACTGGGAGGGGCAGCTTCCCTGCTGGACCTGACTCCAAGTCACTGTATCTCTGGCAGTTTGATGCAATTCCAAAGTGAGAACCAGAGTTGTGGCTTGGGGGTGGCTGCCCACTTGTGTCAGAACCCCACCTAGAGGCTGGGACCTGACCTATGACTGGTGTGTCTGTGGCCTGAGGATGGCACATCCCGGAGACCCAAGGCCAGCCCACTGGCGCTCATTGGCTCAAAGGCAGTCAGCTCTTAGGGTCTGTCCTTCCCTGGCTCCTTCCAGCTGGGTCCCACCAGGGCTCCAGCACCCAAAACTCAGCATCGACGGGCAGCTCTGAGGAGCCTGGCGGCTCCGCTAACTCCAGCATTCCTCCTTTGACAGCAAATGCGGCAGGAGCTGAGGCGAAAACTAAAGTGGACACAAATGCTGGGAGAATGGGAGAAATACAAGAACAGCGAAAAAGTAACGTGTGGAGGGAGAGGCCCCGGAACCACTGTCTGCAGGGACAGGGGACAGGCACCCTCAGCCTCTGAGAGGGCGGGTGGCACACTGTCCTCACACAGAGGACCGCAGGCCTGGTTGCCAGCTTTGCTGCCCGTTGGTGCGAGCGTCACCTTGCTGGAAGGGAATCTGAATCTCAGGCTGGGGTCACCTGGAGCTCAGGTCTAGGGCCGCCTCCTGGTGACCCGAAGGAAGGAACAGGTCCAGATCAGAGTTCAGGACTCTGAGTGCCCTTTTCCTCTTTCAATCCTGGGAAGGGAGACCCTGCCCCAGCTTGACCTCACCTCTACTGAGGAATCACGGGGCCAAAAGGAATGATTTACCCAAAAAGAATTCTCGGGTTCTGGTACTCACGGGGGTCGCCCCTGGCCCGAGTCACAGGATTGTTTTCTGCCCACAGCTGGTTCACCGTGTTTACAAGGGCATTCCCATGAATATCCGGGGCCAGGTGTGGTCAGTCCTCCTGAACATTGATGATATCAAGGGGAAAAACCCCAGGAAATACCAGGTACGCTAAGCCAGAGCACAACAAACAGGCCATGCCGTGTCAGGGGCCCTGGTGTCCAGCTGCAGGGAACGAACATCAAGCCCCGCTTGGGGGGTGTGTGTGATGGCCAGATGCACATCCTGGGCATAGACGGCGACATAGGCACCACAGATGAGCTCGGCTTTGGGGACCCTCCCCAGCTTCAGAAACAAGCCAAAAAGCAGCTTTCTGCAGAGGGAAATCTTCCTTCTTTCCTTCCTTCCGGAAGCGCTGACTGTGGGATGACTGTCGTTTGGGGCAGGGAGTCTTCCGTCTGTTCTGAGGCTGCTTCCTCCTCTTGGCCCTGCCCTACAGCTCATGAAGGAGAAGGGGAAGAGGTCCTGTCAACAGGTGCGCCAGATCGACCTGGACGTGAGGAACACACTGAAAAGACACATTCTTTTCCGCGAGCGATATGGCATCAAGTAAGCCCACGCGAGCCACAGGCCCCAGCAGACACAGGGTAAACCAGAGGGATGGGGACTTCCCAGGAGCAGAAGCCAGGATCACCCAGGAGGGGTGAAAGAGCTGCCAAGGGCTCTCCTGGCCCAGGGAGCAGCCGGCACAAGGGACTGAGCAGCTCCCAGGTTCCAATCCCTGGGCCAGGCTGGAACATGTGGGGCCAGAAGCCAAGAGGATCCTGAGGAGACAGAAGGCAGCAAAGAAAATCATGCACAATGGGGAAAACTGCTCTCCCTGAGCCATGGGGACCCATGGTAGCACCCACAGCAGGGCGGCAGGATGGAGGGACCCGTGAGCCTCCCCAGGCAGCACTGACAGCACCAGATGCTGGGGGCACTCAGGGTCCTGGAAACTCTCATCCAGGTCTGCTGAGAACATGACATGGCACAGCCACTTTGGCAGCCAGTTGGGCAGTGGCTCACAAAGCTCAATGCACTTGAACCACACGTCCCCAAAGTGCCACAGATATTGAGCCCAATGACTTGGAAACTGACATCCACATGAAACCTGCATGCCACATTCACTGCTCCATTCATCATCACTCACACACAGAGCCTTTGGGGACAACCGTCAGCATGGGAATGGGGAGAGGAAGGTTGGTTCTCCCTTGAAACAGAAGACGCAGTGAGAAAAGGGAACGCGCCAGTGATGCCCACACGAACGTGGCTGGAACCTACATGCAGTTTGCTAAGAGAAAGAAGCCAGACCCGAAAAGCTACCACTGTAGGATTCCCATTCATAGGCCATTCTGGAAAAGGTCAAACCAGAGGGACTGAGAACCGGTCTGGGTGACCAGGAGCTGATGGATTGGGGAAGGTGGGCTACATAGGGGCCACTCTGGAGACTTGGAGGATGAAGGAGTCACTCCAGGAGGGGCTGGGGCGGTGGCTGGGAAACTCAGCACATTGGGTTAGAACCGTGGCAGAACTCTACAACCAAAGACTGAACTGGCATGTGTGCAAACTGAAAAAAAAGTCAATCAAAGCAAAAATGGTTAGTCAACTCACTGTCCAACTGGGATATCTGCATTTCATAGATGTGGACTTTACTGAAACATTTCTTAAACAGTTAAAGGCCATGAAGAGCTCACTGCTAGTCTGGTGAATCGTCTGAACCTGAAATGGGGTTTGTTGTTAGGGTTTGTAGACAAAGTGAAACTAATAGCATCTCCACAAAAGAAACGAAAGCCCCTTTTCTCTGTCTCCTAGGCAGCGGGAACTATTCCACGTCCTGCTGGCCTACACAGAGTATAATCCGGTGAGTATTCCGGGCAGTGACCATATTCCCACATTCACGGCCATATTCCCGGGTCATATTGCCATATTGACTGGCGTGGGTGTCTATTGAGGGTGTCGTTGCTTCTTTCCAAGTCAGTATTTGTGAGCCAGCAGGATATAGAAGGCATGACTCCAGCTCACCACTGGCATAAATCTCCACACAAGGGGGGTGGCCTCAAGTGGTCAAACTGAGTCACAAAGGAGTCAGGGTCCTGACTCCTGGTGTCACCTGGTCCAGACCACCACTTCTCAGAGCAGGAAATGACACCTTCCTCCTGGGGCTGCCCCAAAGCCCAGGAGCTTGGCGGTGTCCCACACACGACGGTGCTCTCAGGAGACATTCTGATGAGTTGCTGAAGTGCCTGATGGACATGGCTATTGTCATGAAATGAAATGAATTTGTATCCTGAGGAAGCCTCTTCTTCAGTGGAAGCCTCCCCAGTCAC